TCTCTTCTGTCTTTTCGAGAGTATTTCTTATTATTTTTTTGAAGTATGTAAATAAAAAGTAGTACATATTATTGTTGATATATCATAAAAAATATTGAATAATCTCTTTATTCAATAATATTGTATAAGTTCGATATTACTAAGACTTTTTATTATTAAATGCTAATTGAAGATTTATATTGAACATAACAAAATTGTATGTGTTAGAAACTAATTAAATATTATACAAAAATTTTAAAATATGTACATAAATTGCATAAATTTCGCTGGTAAGTACTTACTAGGGTTCTATAAATCGACTTTCGAATAATCGAACAATCAACTTTTTGTCGAAAAAAATCGAAAAGTCGAACATTTTGTTCCAAAAAAGTCGATAACTCGACTATCGTCTATGAAATAAGTCAAAAAGTCAACTTTGTAAATAAAAGTCGATAAGTCGAAAAAAGGCATAAGTCGGAAAAAGTGGAAAAAAGCGGAAAAACTCGAAAATAGTAGAAAAAAGTAAAAAAATAGTAGAAAATTTTAAAAAAGTGGAAAAAAGTCAAAAACTCTAAAATAGTCGGAAAAACTCGAAAAAAGTCGAACAAAAGTCGAAAGTAGTCAAAAAGTCGAAAAAAATCGAGAAGTCGGAAAAAGTCGAAAAGTCGACTATTTATAAAATACTAAAAGTCGAAAAGTCGAAATGAAAAAAGTTGAAAAATTGTCTTTTCATAAAATGCAAAAAGTCGACTTTTAACTAATTGCAAAAAGTCGAAAAGTCGACTTTTCGTTTCAACTATAGAACCCTAGTACTTACTAAGCAAAAACCTTGAAAGTAAATGCTTATACGAAGGAGTCAATGTATCCGAAAAATACAGTGATTTCCACACTGGTTCCTGGTTGGCTCTATTTCGTCTTTCTTCACGAATGTACTCATTGTAACCGAGGTTGAAGACAATCGTCCTTTAGTGTCCCATGGGGTGACGATTGACTTCCTCGTAGAACAAAATAGTTAGTCACCTTGACACTTGACACAGTTCGGAACTGTCCGACCGAACTGCTAGTCTGGTGGAATGTCCCAGGCATTTTTTGTTCATCATAGCTCGATTTGAACGAATTTTACATATTGTTTTTGGTGCAGGCCCCTACTACTAATTGTTTGTTTTGCTCCATGGATATTTGATTTGGGGGGTTGATTCGGTTAGATTTTGGGAATGATTAGGTGGCGCTGGCGGCGAATGCCTTGGATCGATCTCGCGCAATTCAAATGCTGGTGTTCTCAATAAAATCGTCGTATGCCGATGGGGATACTAGAGTTTTCAATAACATCGTCGTATCCCTATGGGGATACTGGTGTCCTTAATAAAGAACGCCCCTATTATGGGATACTATAGATAAAATTTTAGCAATAATCATAATTTGCAATCCCTTATAACACCTGTTAGAAAAAACTCCTATGAGTGTCTTTGACTTTATTATCCTTATTTAAAAAACAATACAATATTTTTCTCAAAAATTGTTCAGCTAGAACGCATTAATTTGAGACCATCGAACAATTTATTTACAAATTCGCTTTAATCTAAAAATTAACGATTTTGAAAATTCTTTAGAACTTTAAATTTTGTATTTATTCAAAGAATATTTCTCGGAGAGGGAAAGGTGCGAATCCTGTTTGAAATATTTCAAAAGGACCTTTACATAAAAAACTAAACTAGAATGAAAATAATTGTTAATATTTATAAAATTAAATTCCCAAAAATAGCACAAAAATTATAAAAAAAATTCCCAAATATTACGATCCCCAAATAAAACATGAAATCCCCAATTTGGGAACAAATCCCCACATCTGGCGGCACTGGTCTAGCCTAAGGTGGACCTAAGAATTATAGAGAGTCCTACGGACAGTTAATGTAAATTGAACAGTTTTTCTATACAGTTTTTCATATTAACCTCTAGAGGGATGGAAGGGTATAACTTGCAAGGTGAAAATTTAACATAAAACATGAAAATTTTTATATTAGAGAAACTAGGCTTTTTGCAAATTTTTGAAAATAAATTGTTTTGATTTGTCATAAGAATTTAAATAATTATTTAACAAGTTCTTTTAAAGAGCAACAATTATTTAAAAACATTATTTCCCTCAAGTATTCACTCTTTGCCTCACCTGAACTAATAAACCATTTAAAAAAAACTCACCCTCTTTGCACCACTTGTTCGATAGTTCTTCTTCTAGTTCTTTTAAGCCAACATTAGAACACATGCCATCATCATCATTATTATTATTATCGTCATCATCATTTCATTCTCATTTGAACATTAAAAAATTTACATACAAACACACACACAACTTTAAAGTTTAAACTCTAAACAAGAAGAATGAACATAAAAAATAAGCAAAACAGTAAAACAAAAAACAAAAGATAGATATTTAAAAAAATACTTGTCTAATATGAAAAAATAACATAAAAATTGGCGAAAAATATAAATAATAATAAAAAATACAAGAAGAAAAAAAAAATAAACGTAAGAAGAGCGAGTGAAGGCAATAATAAAAAAACACATACTCAGGTATGAGTATAAAAATACTATAACAAAAACAACAACTCGTTTCAACAAGTGATTTAGTGAGTAGAGCTACCAGATTAGAGGAATTTGTATTGGAAGTGGGAATTATGTAGATTATATAAATAAATCGACGCCAATGAAATTAGACATTCCCCTTGGCTATAACAAAACTCGATTGTTCTTAACTCGCTTCTTATTGAATCGAGGGACAATGCCAAATATTTAGATGTTATGTTAGTTAGTGAGTTTGAAAGGAGTATGTATATACATACATAAAATCCAAAGAAATACACATAGGCCTCTATAGGGCTTGTTGTGCGCTCCTTAACCAGTACCTCAGGTGGAAACCACCACCTCCGGTCTACCACACTAGAACACTAACCTACCGGAGGCCATTAGATATTATACCGGACTCTAATGGTCACCCCGGAGCATGTTACGTTTATGATCTTTCCCATCTTGGTGTTATTGCAATTCGGGGGAAAAGAGGTGCTGCCAATACCTCTAGTCTGTGGGACTATAAACTGGTGATGATCAAATGTATCCTTGGTCATACCAGGAACCGGTAGCCCACAGGGAAGATTTTCGGACTTTGTCTTTGACCCGGACTCGGACTTTGTTTAATCCCGGTTATTGTCTTAAACCCAAAATAGCGGGAAGGAAATGTTGGTTAAAAATACTGATACACGGTGAAGTAAAAAGTTGCTACCAGTACCTCTAGTCTGACGGAACTAAAACTGGTGATGCCATTTCGCTCTCTGGCTTGTATTTGGAATGATTTGACATGGGGTCTAACCAAAGAACCTCATAATCTGGTACTACGGTTTGCCCTGTTTGGTCAGTTGGTTGAGGTTCCTTCGGAATCCACGTAGCGGCTGTGGTCTAAACCCTAATTCTCAGGAAGAGTAAGTTGCGGTTAAAGGACTGATGCACGTTGAAATCTATATGTATTTCGGGATAAGTTCGGTGCTGTTGCCGCTTGACAACAGTTACCCCACAGAGGAGTGAATGTGCGACTGAGCGTTAGAAATGAGTTGGTGTTAAATGTATATGATACGGGATGAATGTAGGGGTATACGGAACTCATCTGCCCGTATACCTAGAGTGAGTCTGCCGTATGTTGTTCTCTTATGAGTGTGTCGGATAAATGGGTAGTGTGCAGGGTTGAATGGTGATGGATGAAAGGTATCTTTTACAAGTGATTCCATTAAATTTTCCTTCCTTGTATAGGTATGTTCAGAATAAACCCTGTTCATACCAAAATTACCACAGTGTGTCACTGTGAGTAAGAACAATGTCTCGGCTTATTAGATAGGTTCGTACTTCGGTCTACCGGTTACGTCTCTAGGTGCTGTTGCCGACTCAAAAGAGGTTTGAAAACGGAAGTGATGTTTTTGTATCTCGGAAGTTATGTAACGGGGCCGCAATGGTCAGAGATTAGATGGCTAAAGTAATTGAGCAAAGTGCACGTTTACTGGACCGGAAATTCCATATACGTAAATTGCCACCTGCGTCGTCACAGAAGCTTACCCAGTGGTTGAAAAAGACCACCGTGAAATAGGCCAATACGGCAGGTGTTTACGAAAAGCACTCGACATTAATTCCACAGAGGAGTGACTGTGGGACTTGGTTGGAAATGAGTTGGTATCTATGCATATAATACGGTATGGATGTAGGTATACCGTCCCGTATACCTAGAGTGGATGTATCGGATGTTTTTCTCAATGAGTTGGATGAGGGTATGTTCCGGGTTTACTCTGTTCATACCGTATTTATCAGTGATGATTTTGCATCTTGGAATTTAAATAAAGGGGCAGCGATGGTCAGAATTGCTCAAGTAGTTGAGTAAAGTGCTTGTACATGGAATTGAGCATGTCTAATAAGCTGACCCTGTGATTGTAAAACTACCATCTTGAAATAAGGCCAACATGGACTCTAAATTTGCATCCAAAATGAAAACTCAGCACAGAGTTAAGATTATAACGGTGGCCTACAACACCTGTCCCTAGATGTTCGATATAAAATGGCGACTTAGTCTTAATATAGTTAAACGGCTATGGTACATTATAATCTTATATATGTGGATCTCTAGATGGACCAACTATATAAAGTTCAGAGATCAGCAGGCACTGGTATAAGAGGTTCACTAAAAAGTAGTCCTTTGGAAGCATTGAATACTATGTTGCACCTTAAAAATTGGGTATTTTTTAATTTTCATTTGAAGGGAGCTTGACTTTAACAATCTCTGGCTACACTACCCGCGAACTAAAGACACACACACATACATACCACCACTCTAACAATGGTATGCATACGCTGTGGAAGACAAAAATTAAACGATTACTAGCGACGGCGATGACGACTACAGCGAAAATACAACGATGGGGAGCAAGCAACCAAAAACTTAAGGTTTGTGTTCAAAGTCTTTCGTTTAATGAATTCAGTTGCTACGCGTTTGTTAACGAGAATGGTTGATTTTGTGGTAAAAAGCGAACAAGTGAAAAAATAAATGAAAACAAGTGATTGTGTGTGAATATAATCGGGAATAGAAACTGTAAATTTATTAAAGAGTGATTAACAACAACAAAGAAAACAAAAGAGAAAAGCAACAACTAAAACTTAAAATATAAACTTAGAGTTTATTTTGTTTTTGTTGTTTTACTTTTTTTTTCTACTTTTAATGAAAGTCAACTCTAAATACAATAAAAAGAAAGAAAAAACACATACATAAAAACAACAACAACAAGTGAGTGTAACTATAAAGAGAGTGTTAAATGTTAAACAAATGTGAATGAAGAAAACAACAACACAAATCTAATATTTAAATACATAGAAATACAAATAAAATATAATAATATTAGAAATAAATAGAAAATTTATGTGGAATTTGAAAACATCTTAATAAAGTGGTTTAAAAATAAAAACAAAATTATATACAAACATTAAGCAAAAAAGAATTAACATTTGTTACTTTTCAAAAATTTAAAAAAATTAAATGATGTTGCTAAAGATCTTCTAATACTGGATTTTAATCTTTTGCTGTTTTTTTCTGTTGTTTTTTCTTTTGTTGTTGGTTTATGGTTTCTAGTTTTTTGGGGCCATTAAACAAAACTTTATATGAGTTAAAGCTTAAAGCATCTTTTTCATTATATTCACCATTAGTTACTCTGTTATCGTCATCATCATCATTTGACAATGTCTCATCAAATTAGATTTTTATTTAATGACACCTTACGGTTAAACAAACTAAATTCTTTAACAAATCAGTGACGTTCTAAAAAACAACAATTTTTAAATTAAACAAATATAGAAAAAAACCTTAAAAGCTTCTTATTATAATCAACTAATAACATAAATAATTCCGTACATTTATTTTTTTTTTTTTTTTTGTCAATTCATTCGATTATTTCGTTTGTTGGTTCGTTTAGTTTTAGTGTTGCACAGTGGTTGAGATCTCAGCTAATAAATAGATAAATTTAATATAAGAAAAACTATTATAAGACATTTTTATTGGTATCTAGGTGTTGTTAAATCAGTTTACACTTTGAGAATTTCCATTTGTTTGCATTCCTTTAAGACTCTGCCTATTCTCTTCTAAACTAATAAAAATTTCTTGTCATTCATTAATTACAAAATGGCACAAAACATTCTAATGAGCTTTTGTTGTCATCATTTATGGTTAATTTTGTAACTGTAATCTTTTAATATTGTTGCTATTTCTAGATAAAATAAGATAAATTAAATAAAATAAGTTTATGTTTAAACAAATATCGTTAGGCATTTGAAAAAAAATTAATCATTTTTACAAGATCATGTTTAAATGAAATTAATTACTGATGTAAACATTGATTAATTAAGTTAAGGTCATTAATTAACTAGTTAAATCTAGTTTAAATGATAATAACAAAATAAGTTTGAATTATAGTAAATATAGCGTTTTTAAATTCGAATTGAAATTTCGAGTGAAAATTTTCTATTTCGAAATTAGTTTTTCTTATTGGAATGAAAATTATGAATTTCGAATTTTCATTTGAATAAAAGTTTTTAATTTTGAAAACATTATGTCACTCCAGGCAGATTTTGGAAGTTCCGAACATACAAATAGATCTTCCCGATATGTTTAAAGGGAATTTATTAGGCACGTCTGATATTTTTGAATAGATAATCTTAAAGTAAAGTTGGCAACAATTTGTCTACTGAAAATACCAAAGTACACTTTATTAAATTTATTTAATACAGAACTAATTATAACAGATCAAAGTTAAATAATAATCAAATGATCTAACTTTAATTAATTAAATTATCATACTAAAGCTAATTCTTAGCAAATAACATTAACTTTGACTTACTAAAGTATAAACAAATTGTTATTTTTTCTTTACTCAATAAATTAAACCATGAAATCCGATAGAAACCTAATTTCCATTTCTTATTGTACTAATGGAAACATCAATCTTAACTTAATTAGCCATAATTATTTCTAATGATCTAGTTTTTTTTATATTCCTTTAAGGCCCACTGTCTTTAATATTTTGCTATTTTTTTTTTCTTCTATATACAATACACACAACAATTTGCTACGGTTCTGAAAAAAAAAATATCTAAAACGAAAAATGCAAAAAGTAGAAGATAAAAAATGTAAGAAAAAAAAAATAAACCACATTCTTTTGGTTTCTTTAAATGCTGCTGCGTCTGCGGTTAACAGAGGCGGCTGGCTGTTGCTGCTCAAGAAAAAAAAAATGATAATAAATAAGAATAAGTAAAAACCAAACCAATTTTGTGGCCTTCGATTCGACAAATTAAACAAGGCATCTCTGGCTAGTTAAAAGTTGGCTGGTTTGGTTTGGTGGTTCTATTCTTACCATCTCGTAGTTCCGCTAACTTAACGTGTTACATCTCGTGTCTATCTTACTTTAGTTTAATAGTTTTTAGTAGCAGAGTTTAGTTTAATTTAGTTTTGATGTGATTTGGTTTCGGTTTTTCCTCTTTCCTCTAACATACATCATTATTAAAAGTATAATAATGAAGATGATTATGATGATGATGATGTAAAGAACATAATTAGCTTATTTTGCAAAATCTTGCTCTATGCTGAAATGTTTGCTCTTCTATTAATATTTTCTTTTAGATTTTCTATTCTTTTTTCATAATCCATAACAGGGATGGAAAATTAAGTATTATTGTAATTATTTAATTTCTTTTTTACATAGACTACTCAACAGATTAGCGCATAGACTAGACCACAGACTAGTCAATAGGTTTGACTTGGCAACAGACTCTCCCACTGACTAGTCAAAATAGTAGTCTACTATGGATTAGTCAATAAGCTAGTCCATAGAATGGTCAATAGACTAGTCCATAGACCAATCTACTGACTAGTACATAAACTTGTCAATAGACTAGTCCAGAGATTAGTCAATAGACTAATTCACATACTAGTCAACATATAATCTAGTCAATAGACTAGGCAATTGGCTAGTCTATAAATTAGTTAATAGACTACTGCAGAAACTAGGCAATAGACTAGTACAAATTAATCAGTACACTAGTCAATAGACTAACCAATATATTAGTCCATAGACTTACCCATAGTCAAGTCCACAGACTAGTCCACGGATTTGCAAATAGACTAGTCCACAGACTAGTCAATAGACAAGTCCACAGACTAGTCAATGACAAGTCCACAGACTAGTCAATAGACTAGACAATAGACTAGTCAATAGACTAGACAATGGACTAGTCCATAGACTAGACAATAGACTAGTCAATAGACTAGACAATAGACTAGTCAATAGACTAGACAATAGACTAGTCAATAGACTAGACAATAGACTAGTCAATAGACTAGACAATAGACTAGTCAATAGACTAGACAATAGACTAGTCAATAGACTAGATCCCAGACTAGTCAATAGACAAGTCCACAGACTGCTCAATAAACTAGTCCACAGTATAGTCAATAGACTATTTACAGACTAGCCAAAAGAAAAGTTCATCAACTAGTCCAGAGACTAGTTTATAAACTAGTCCAAAAGGTAGTCAAAAGACTAGTCACATACTAGTCAATAGACTAGGCAATAGACTAGCACAAATTAATCAGTAGACTAGTCCATAGGCTATTCTACAGACTAGTCAATAAGCTAGTCCACAGACTAGTCAATAAGCTAGTCAACAGACTAGTCAATAGACTAGTCCACATACTAGTCAATAGACTAGTCCACAGACTTTTCAATAGACAAGTCCACAGACTAGTCAATAGCCTAGTCCACTGACTGGTCAATAGACTAGTCCACAGACTAGGCAAATTGGCTAGTCCACAGACTAGGCAAATTGGCTAGTTTTGAGACTAGACAATAAAGTATAGATTAATCAGTAGACTAACCAATAGACTAGTTTATGGGCTTTGATCCCTTATCCTGCTAATATCACCACTTTTGTACTTGAGTCATTCGTACTTGATTCTAGTATTTTGTACTTGATTTAGATTACAGAAATCGATTGTATACCATTTCAAAGTGTCTATCTTCCAAGTCTGATTCATAAAATGTAAAGTGCATTTGGCCAAAACCGTTTCTTTTTCTTTCAGCTGCCTCTCTCTCCATAACTCTTTCTCTCTCATTATAAAAAAATAGTAAAACAAGCCTCAAGTGCAAAAAAAATAAATATTTTTCTTCTAAAGAAAAAACAACAGCGCCATGCTCCTCTTGCTGCTCTACCAACAACATCATAATAATGGCCTTTCCATGCTAGAAACCACATACCAACCAAGTCAAACAAGCAACCAACATCCCAGCTACTCCCCCTCCCCCTTTTGAACTCTCTTTATCTAGTTTATTTACTCTTATTTGAGCCAAACAAGCCACTTTATGTTTTTTTCTTCTTTTTCTTCTTCTTCTTCCACTCAGTTTCTTGAACAATAAAAAATAAACAAAAACAACAACAATAACAATAATAAGAAAAAATATTTCATAGTTTTTCTCAGACTATTTTGAAATTTTGTGAAAATTCAACAATAAAGTTAAAAAAAAATCTGAAAAAATACAACAGCAGCAGCAACAACAGCAACTACTACTGCATCCATAACGTCAACAACAACAACATCTACAACAACAAATACTTTTAAATCTAACTTACATACTTTGGATTTTTCTTTGGCGGGTAAGTTATTCCTCCATGGATTGTTTGAAAATAAAAACGAGGGCAGTTCGAAAGGTTTGGCTATTCTAAAGAGACTAAGACACTAAACTTTTAGAGACATACCTAATTATCCAGGCTTTCAAGCATCGTTCGCTTATTTTTAAATAAGCTTCCAATTTAAAAAATACTGTTTTTCTAGAGGTGTTTTGCCTTTTTCGGGAGAAACTAAGTGAGTTAACGGATCGTAATATACTTCATATTAAAGGCAATTCGATAGACGCTAACAAATTTTACCATATTATATAAAAAGACCATTTGTTTATTTTTAACAAAATTTTCAAATCAACCCTCGTCTAACATTTCATTTTCTTGTTTGCCAAAATTATTATCCAAAGCTCTCAAACTCTAGTGAAAAACCACTTTTTTTGTATAACTTGCACAATGGAAAACTAGTTAGAAAATTACGGTAGGTCAAAACCAACTAAATTATACCTTACACACTGCAGCAGCAACGAAAACATAAACAATAAAAACAACAACTAAAAAAATTCTCATAAAATATGACAGTTGGTGGCAATAATTTTTAATTTGAAAATTTTTATAAAATTAACAAAAAAAAAAAAAAAAAAAAAAACAACGAAACTGCACACTTAAATTGTAACAAGTATAACAAGTCAAATGGAAATTTATTATTACCCCTTGGTAGTCATAACAAGCCCCTTTTAAAATTATTATAAAAAAAAATATTTTTAAATACTTGTGGAGACTCTATGGCGTTGCTTATTTCGTTCGGCTCATAGTTCAGCGTTTTTTTTTTTTTTTTGTAATATTTTAGAATTGAAAAAATAAACAAATTTCTCACCATTGATTTTTGTTTAAATTTGTAAACAAATTATGTATTATTAAATGAAAATATAAATTATTTGAAATTATTTAGTTTAAATGCATTTTTTGATGTTATTATAGATCGGTCTTTAGTTAATACTCCTTGAAGCCAAGACTATAGATCACTAGATAGTGAAGTTAGATCACATTTATAGTCATTGCTAGTATACTGTAGATCAGCCTAACGTCCAGACTACAGATCTATAGCAATGAATATGAACCAGTCTATAGTCAAAGAACTAAAGATCAGTTTATAATGTAGAATATAGTACAGTTGAGACTTACATAGATCACACTTTCAATCAATCTACATCTAGACTATACATCTATAGCAATGAATATGGACCAGCCTATAGTCAAAATTAAAGATCAGTTTATGGTGTAGAATATACATCATTCTATATTGTAGCCTTTAATATACATAGGATGATCTATATTCTAGACCTCATTGTCAAGATTTCAGATTAGTCTGTAGGATGGTATAAACTGATAAGACTGTAGATTAGTTTATAGTCAACAATATAGGTCAGTCTATAGCCCGGATTTCAGATCAGTATATAGTCAAGACTATAAATCAGACTATTGTAAAGAATATTGATCACCTTATAGCAAATGCGATAGATTAGTCTATTATTAAAGGTATAATCAAGACTATAGATCAGTCTGTAGACAATGAATCACAAGAGATCAGTATATATCCAGACTATAGATAAGTCTATATTCAAAGCTATAGAGCATTCTGTAGTCGACACTATATATTAGTCTATAGTTCAGACAATGTATAACTCTTTAGTCAATACTATAGATCTTTCAGTAGTCCACGCATAGATCAGTCTATAGTCAAGACTAGAGTCCATTCTGTATTCAATACTATAGTTCAGTATATAGTCGAGACTAGGGAAAACACAGTGGCTAAGACTAAAGATCTGTATATAGTCCAGACATTTGTTGAAAGTTTTGTTTTAATATATAATTTGACAGTTTCAATTAGAGTGAATCAAGTGCGATAACAAACCTTGTATCAAAGTAATATAATCCTAACAAATTAGTTCAATATCTCCAAAATCCCTTTTATTATTTACAAATCCCAAAAATTCCTAAATCAAGGTAAAATAAACCATAATTTGTTATATTTCTTATGAAATCTTTGATATTTTCTTTAAAACCTAAGAGATACCCTTCACTCAGTCAATCAAGGTGTGTTTAGTATAAAATTTATAAAAAAAATTTCTGAATGTTTCATTGTTTTAAACATTATGATTTTTTGTTTATTGTTTCGAGATGATGATATATTGATTGAAAGAGAAAAAAAAAAAAAAAAAAACAAATAAAATAAACAAAAATATAAATATGAATAAAAAGTAAAATAAAAACGCTCATCAACTTGCGTAATTTTTTGTTTTTAAATAAAAATTTCAGCTAAAAGATAATCAATGTTAATTTTGTTAAGAATATTAAATACAAAACTCAGTTACAATAACAAATAACGTTAAAAAAGCGTTAATATGAGAAGCTGTTTTCAAAAATTGTATATTAATATTAAAACAAAATGAACTCACACTAATGGCATCTTTAACGAAAAGTTTTAAACAAAAATCTTTTAATTTAATAAAACAAGTTTTATAAACCACAAATTTAAAAAAAAAAAATCCCAAAAAAAAACTCTGAAGTTTTAATATGAAATTAGTATTTATTAACAAAAAATATGTATAAAAATATAATAAAAATTAAAATTAATGTGAACATTGTCTTTTAAAGCGAGTACAGGTTAAGAAAAAATATATTAAATGACCTTGGTGCAAAGTTAACTGGTGATTTTTTTTAGTATTCTCCTCCCTCATTCTTGATTATTAATTTCTTGGTATCACCGTCATTTGTAACAAATCAGTGGGAATCTAGAAACCAGTGTTGCTATTATAGTGAATTTGCAAAATTGTTTAAAATTGTTCAAAACTAGACAAGATTCTAGACTGATCAATAGTCTAGACTAAAATCAAAACTATGGACTGATCTATAGTATAGAGTATAGACTGATCTATAGTATAGACTATAGACTGATCTATAGTATAGATTATATACTGATCTATAGTATAGACTATAGACTGATCTATAGTAAAGACTATAGACTGATCTATAGTATAGACTATAAACTGATCTATAGTTCAGACTATAGACTGATCTATAGTCCAGACTATGGACTGATCTATAGTCCAGACTATAGACTGATCTATAGTCCAGACTATAGACTGATCTATAGTCCAAACTATAGACTTGTCTATAGTCCAGACTATAGACTGATCTATAGTCCAGACTATAGACTGATCTATAGTCCAGACTATAGACTGATCTATAGTCCAGACTATAGACTGATCTATAGTCCAGACTATAGACTGATCTATAGTCCAGACTATAGACTGATCTGTAGTCCACACTATAGACTGATCTATAGTTCACACTATAGACTGATTTATAGTTCACACTATAGACTGATATATAGTCTATAGTGTAAAATAAAGACTATATTTCAGAGTATAGACTGATCTATAGCCTAGACTATAAACTGATCTGTAGTCTATAGTGTAAAATAAAGACTTATCTATATTTCAGAGTATAGTCTAGATTGTAGTCTGATCTATAGTCCAGACTATAGACTGATCTATAGTCCAGACTATAGACTAATTTATAGTCCAGACTATAGACTGATCTATAATCCAGACTATAGACTGATCTGTAGTCCACACTATAGACTGATCTGTAGTCCACACTATAGACTGATCTATAGTCCATACTATAGACTGATCTATAGTCTATAGTGTAAAATAAAGACTGATCTATATTTCAGAGTATAGACTGATCTATAGTCTAGAGTCTATACTATATAGTATAGACTATAGACTGATCTATAGAATAAAGTGTAGACTATATTTTGACCTAACTGACTGTAGACTGATCTATAGTCTACACTGTATACTATACATTGATCTACATCTCAGAGTATAGACTGTTCTATAGTCGTGACTATAAACTGATCTATAATCTATAGTGTAGACTATAGACTGATGTATAGTCGAGACTATAGACAGATCAGTCTATAGTCATACTATAGACAGCTCAATTCTTAATGATCTGATCTATAGTCTAGACTCTAGACAAATGGCTGGTTTATTGTCCAGACCATATACTGAAATATAGCCATGATTTAAAACGGATCTATAGTATAGACCAAAGAATAATAAGAAGTTGGACTATGACATTGTTTTACAACAATAACATTTCCTTCTCTTCACAGACGAGTTCTGTGTAAATTCAACACACTTGTGAGAACTCAATTCTCTCACAATACTTCAAAACTTTTTCGCGAAAATACCGGTATAATAGGACTTGAACGACATTTTTTCACAAACACATAACTATTTTTTAATTTTTTACACAATTTTATCGCATTTAACAATCCGAAATATTTTTATTTTTCACAAACTAAAAAAATATTTTTTTAATATTTTTGACAATTAATTTTTGTGTGTTGAAATTAAAATTGACAAAACAAAGTTGTATATTTTGGTATTGAAAATGAAAAAATTAATTAAAATAAACTTATTTTTTTGCAAAAAAAGAGATTTTAAGTCCGAAAAATATATTTATTAAATGTTTACTGATTAGATGTGGGCAAAATAAATTAAAAAATCTGCGAATGTAGAAATTTAAATGTTATTTATTTTTCCTAAAATTTTTATGTACGATTTTATGCAAGTATGTATGTTTGGAAAGTGTGGTGAAAGTGTTTGGAGCTCCAATACTAATACAAAAATTCTACCAATACATACTTAGAGTTAGGTACCGAATGACAACTCCTTTACGTACCAACTGACAAGCCCCAATTTCTTTATATTCTTTGGTATAGACTATGAACTTATATTTGTCTAAAGTATAGCTTTATATTGTCTAGAATCTAGACTATAGACTGGTCTATAGTGAAGACTGTAGACTTATTTACACTCTGCTGTCTATAATCCAGACTATAGATTGATCAATAGTCTAGACTATAGACCGATCTATTAGACTAGAGACTAATCAATTGTCACAACTATAGATCAGTCTATACTAAAAACTACAGATCAGACAACACATATACATTT